AAGTTTTTGAGATTATCAAATCATTTCTTTCTAACCGATTTATTAAAGTCATCCTTGAAGGCCAACACTCTTCTTTATTTCCAGTAACTTCTGGGGTTCCCCAAGGTACCATCCTGGACCCTGTTTTGTTTCTTATCTACATAAACGATCTTCCTGACAACCTTACATCTAAAGTAGCTCTTTTTGCTGATGACTCAACTTTATACTCCTGTCTTGACAAAAAGTCTTCTCTTTTCGATCGCCTAGAACAAGCAGCTGATCTTGAATCCGATCTCACTTCAATAATAGATTGGGGTTCACAGTGGCTTGTGAATTTCAACTCTAAAAAAACCCAGTTGCTTACTGCAAACAACTACCGTAATATGGTCAACATTCCTATATTAATGAATGGCAATCCTCTTACTGAGTCCTCCTCTTTACGTCTTCTTGGATTATCGCTTACTACTGACCTTTCATGGAAACTATATATACAATCGATTGCTAAATTAGCTTCTGCTAAGGTTGCTTCTCTTTATTGTGCTCGCCATTTCCTTACTTCTGATTCCATTCTCTACCTCTACAAATCTCTTATTCGTCCCTGTATGGAATATTGTTGTCATATTTGGGCTGGTTCTTCTAACGATTTACTTTCTCTTCTTGACAAGTCCCAAAATCGCATTGTAAATGTTGTTGGACCTGGACTATCTGCTAAGCTTGAACCTCTTTCCCATCGTTGTAAAGTTGCATCTCTTTCTCTTTTCTACAAATACTATCATGGTCACTGCTCAAAGGAGTTATCATCTCTAGTTCCATCAACTAAAATTCATTCTCGTTTTACTCGTCATTCAGCTAAGTCTCATTCGTTTACTTTATCTGTCCCTGCATGCTCTAAAAACTTTTATTCATCTAGGTTTTTTCCCCGCACTTCAATCCTTTGGAACTCTCTCCCATCTTCATGTTTTCCTGACTCATACAACCTTCAACTTTTCAAGTCTTCTGTCCATTTCCTTGCTCTATAACTCTGTTCTTTTTTTTCCTAGTAACTCCCAACTTAATAGTAGTTGCTTGCAGCCTTGTTGGGAGTGAATGCAAATAAAAAAAAAAAAAAAACATAAAAATTAAAAAGTATTAATAAAATTTAGTTTGCTTATTATTTAAGTTTAGAAGCAGAACATAATGTTAATTAAATATTTACGATTCTGTTTTAGATGAAATCAACATATCTCTTGAAATAAAATGTAACTCTAAGTAAAAAAATAGACTGTAAACCAGAATGTAAATTTTGCTGCTCCAGTATTTCTCCTAATATCTGACAAATTCTGAGAAAGTTTCTGATAATGAAATAGAGTTTGTAATCAATTCTGTAGCATTTGTCAAATCTTATAATAAACAACAGTTAAACAATTTCTTTATAATCAATTAGAGTCTTACCAATTAAAGTTCATGGAGTTGCGTTAAAGTTGTGGAGTTGCATCAACGAGTTATAACAGCAAAAAGAAAACACAAAAATGGAAGGACAAGTGCTTAAAGAGTTTTTTTTGTCTTAAAGTATGTCATATTGTCTTATTGTCTTATTTGTCTTATTGTCTTTTAATATAATATATTATAAATAAATATACATTTAGATAATATATTATATATAGTTACCTAAAAATTTGGTAACTATATATAACTGGTGTAGTCCCAAATTTTTCAAGTCATCTTACTAATAAAAAAAAGCAAATTATTTTAATCAATTTACAATGTTAATGAAAGAAAAACTTGAAGTTAAATCTTGGTTTTGAAAATATGCTGCGGCATATTTTATGTTCGAAAATCTTATATGTGCTAGAAAACCTAAAATAACTTGCAGCAAACTTTATGTTTGAGCATCTTTTATAATGTGCTAGAAAACTTAAAATATGTTGCAGCATACTTTATGTTCGAGCATCTTTTATAATGTGCTAGAAAACTTAAAATATGTTGCAGCAAACTATATGTTTGAACATCTTTTAAAATGTGCTAGAAAACTTAAAATATGTTGTAGCATACTTTATGTTCGAGCATCTAGAAAACTGCTAGAAAACTTTAAAATAAAAATGGGATTCTTGCTGTACCTGATAAAAAAAAAGGCCAGAGAATATCTAACTTTCTTTCATCTTTGGCTCAAAATTTCAACAAGATGAAGATTTCAGAACTATGCCTGGTAAAAAAGATATTTGTTAAGGTTAAAAAGTGGTCCTCCACAACAAAAAAAAATTAATCCTAAGCAACCTTCATTATAATGATTTTAAAGATAAATTTAAAAAAAAAAAGTTTTAAAAATAAAATGAAAGTTTTAAAAATAAAATCTTAGTAGTTTGCGTCCAAATTGGTGTATTGGGCCCCTGTGTATATGTTTGTAAACAACATCAAAACTCAATACTGCTTGTAAATGCTGTCCAATAGATTGTTACATACAAAGATTTAATGCCAAAATTAGTATGCGATACAAACAATATTAAGTGCATGGTTCATAGATGTGCCAAATCTCCAGGTTTTGATAGTTTAAAGGTATTTTTAGATTTTAGAATAAAAATAATTACTCCAAAAAGGTAACTTTCAAGTTTAATTATGTTATTTCTCACATTAATCAACTTACTTTGCATTCATATATTGTAAAATGCCTAAACTCGATATTTAAAAGTGCTTAAAAATAGCTTAGGTTACATTGAGTGTATTATACTGGCAGATTTTGTAGAGAACTATAAGCTCTTAATGCAGGATTAAATACTAAGCCACAATTGGAATAAATATCAGTGCACATTAAATCCAGTTGTTGATTTATTGATTTCAATGAAATTTTTATACCTATTACTCAGTTTCAAAAATCTAAATCTGTATCATTATAAAAAAGATTTCCAGACATATGCTGAATGGATATTTTTTGAAACCAGCCATGAAAAATCACCTTGTGATATGTGAAAAAAAATAGGTGGTATCGAAAAATAAATATTGACAGTTTTATGTTTAAATTTTGTAATGCCAATTTAAAAACAATGATATTTAATGAAATTATCACAGAAAAAGCAACAGTAAGTCAACATCAAATAAAGGAACAATTTGATATGGGAAAGTCTGTCAAGGGTCTAGAAGTTACCAATATTATATACCTATAAAGTTTGAAATTGGTTTTAAACGAAGTGAAAATCAATGTTTCAAAAGAACCAGTGAAAATCAATATTTTAAAATAACTAGTGAAAATCAGACAGATTTCAAAAGTAGCAGTATCTAATGTTGTGTTTGTACCATATATAAATGATTTTGATGCATGTAAGTATGATTCTTTTTGGTGGGTAGGCATGATTACAGAGATATACATTATTACAAATGATGTCCAAGAGTAGTTATGTGCAAACAATATAAAACCTTGAAGTGAAGAATTATATAACTACAGTAGAATCACCTTAACTCGGGCCCTGGATAAGTCGGACTTTTACTAAGTTGGACAAATTTTCAATTCCCCTTGAATTCTCTATACATACCAAAAGCTTTGCTTAACTCGCACATTCGCTAAGTTGGACAAAATATATATACCCATTCAAGTCCAAAGTTAACAGGATTCTACTGTATAACTAATAAATTTTAATTTGTAGAATTAAATTTTTTATTGATATTTATATATATATTTTTTTTTCTTGAGTTTCTAATATATTTTCTTCAAGTTCTTTATTTTTCTTCTACTTTATTTGTCTTATTAAGACAAATAAAGTAATACAAAATATAAACAATAAATACAAAATTCATGTTTCATAAGTAATACATTCAAGTAAATTAGACAATGTTTTTTAATTTTTTATTAGGAAAGGGTACAATCCAATTTATTGTAATACCTCTAACTAAATTATTTAAGACAACTTCTGAAAAAATAGAGCTCTTGTAACTTCTTAAGCATCTGCATTTTTATAAGTTGTCTCCCCCCTCCTTGCTTTTTCAGAGAAAATATAAATTTTTGAAATTTAAGATCACATTATATAAAACTACCAAAAAAAAAGAATCAACAAGAAACAACAACTAAAGCAACAATTTGATATTTATTGGAACTGTTTCAGTTACATTACTGGCAACTTGAAAATTTTTTTTCCTTCTGATTTTTCATGTTTTATAAGTTAAAAGAATTATGATTTGACTATGATTTATTTTTTATTTTAGAAAAGATCACCTTCCAATTTTTATAAATAGTTCTAAATAAACTATTTAGGATGACATCTAGAAAAAAAATTGAGCTGCATTTTTGCAATTAAACTTGTCCCAGTAAAATTATGATAAAGGTTTAAATTTCAGGTGTTATGTTCAGTTATGCTAAATATGTTTAGGTGTTATGTTAAATATTTTTAGTTGTTTAATCAGATTCCTTCCTCTAAAATATGTAAGCGTACATAAATACATTTTAGCTGTTTTGTTTTTTTAAATACAAATGATAACATTTAGATTTATTAAAAGAATTAAAAATTTATAAAAACATTAGTAAGCATATAATGAGATAACATTTAGATTTACTAAAAGAAATAAAAATTTATAACAACATTAGAAAGCATATAATGAGATAACATTTAGATTTACTAAAAGAATTAAAAATTTATAACAACATTAGTAAGCATATAATGAGATAACATTTAGATTTACGAAAAGAATTAAAAAATTTATAACAACATTAGTAAGCATATAATGAGATAACATTTAGATTTACGAAAAGAATTAAAAATTTATAACAACATTAGTAAGCACATAATGAGATAACATTTAGATTTACTAAAAGAATTAAAAATTTATAACAACATTAGTAAGCACATAATGAGATAAATTTATAACAACATTAGTAAGCATATAATGAGATAAATTTATAACAACATTAGTAAGCATATAATGAGATAAATTTATAACAACATTAGTAAGCATATAATGAGATAAATTTATAACAACATTAGTAAGCATATAATGAGACAAATTTATGAACAGATTATTGAAAATCAATATTTATAAAAATTATTTATAAAAATTACCTGAATAACACCAGCTAGTTCTTTTTCAGTCCATGTTAAGTTTTTGCTCTAGATGTAATTAATATAATGTAAAAATATGAGAATTATTTATAAATTTCAAGGTCAAATTTTTGAATGACCAGCGTAAAAAAAAGTGCAATATAAATAGTGGCATATCATTAATAGTATATAATGAATAGTTCTCTAACATATTGCAAAATTATAATTCACCTAGATTCCAGTTTTCCAATACTTTTTTCAAATGTGTTACTTTTTTTAAATGTTTTAATTTTTTATTTTATTTCACTACTAACAAAGCTGCAAGCAACCACTATTAATTTGGGAATTGATAAAAAAAAAAAAGGGTTATAGAGCAAGGAAATGGTTGACAGAAGACTTAAAAAGTTGAAGGTTGTATGAGTCAGGAAAATATAAAAATAGGAGAAAGTTCTAAAGGATTAAAGTGCAAAGGAAAAAAATTGACATATAAAAATTTTTTAGAGTAAGAAGGGACAGATACAATAAAAAAATGAGACTTTGTTGAATTACGAGTCAAGCAAATGAGTTTTAGTTGATGGAACTAGAGATGATAGCTCCATTAAGCAGCAACCATGATAGTATTTATACAAAAATGAAAGAGAAAGAGCATTATTAGAAAAACCAGCCCAAATATTATGGAATACCAGCCCAAATATGAGGAGATAGAAAATGGTGAGCACAATAAAGAAAAGCAACCTTAGCAGATGCTAGTTTAGCAATCAACTGTATATATAGTTTCTGTGAAAGGTCAGCAGTAAACAATAATCTAAGAAGATGTAAAGAAGAGGACTCAGTGAGAGTGTTACCATTCATTAATATAGAAATGTTGACAGAACTGCAATAGTTATTTGCAGTAAATAACTGATTTTTGTTTGAGTTAAAATTTACAAACCATTGTGAGCCCCAATCTGTTACAAAAGTGAGATCAAATTCAAGATCGGCTGCCTGTTCTAAGCAATCGAAAAGAGAAAATTTTTTATCAAGACAGGAGTTTAAAGTTGAGTCATCATCAAAAACAGCTATTTTAAATGTAAGGTTGTCAGGAAGATCATTAATGTAGATAAAAAACAAAATAGGACCAAGGATAGAACCTTAAGGCACCCCAGAATTTACTGGAAATAAAGGAATGTTGGACTTCAAGGATGACTTTAACAAAGAAAAAAGCATTGAAGTGCAGGGAAAAAAACTAGACAAATAAAAGTTTTTAAAGCATGAATAGACAGATACAGTAAAAGGATGCAACTTTGTTGAAAGACGAGTTTAGCCGCAATGAGTTTTGGTTGATGGAACAAAAGATGATAACTCATTTGTGCAGAGAGCATGATAGTATTTGTAGAAAAGAAAAAGCAATACAACCTTATGACGATGTGAGAGTGCCTAAAGCATGGCAGATAGAGCACATATAACTACTTTTACAATGTGCTTTTTGATCTTGTCTAATAGAGAAAGAGCATCATTAGAAGAACCAGCCTACATATGAAAATAATATGGAATCACAATAAGAAAATGGCGAGCACAATAAAGAGAAGCAACCTTAGCAGATGCTAACTCTGCCATGAATAGTATATATGGTTTTAATGATAGGTCATTGGTGATATATGGTGATATATATGATTTTCATGAGAAGTCAGTAGTAAACAAACAGTAAATTGCAAATCCAGCAAAAATATATGGTGATATATATGGTTTCCATGAGAGGTCAGTAATAAACAATAATTTAATAGGACATTAATGTAGATAAGAAACAACACAGGACTAAGGATAGAACTTTGCAGTACCCAAGAAGTTACGGGAAATAAAGAAGAGTGTTGGAAAAGAAAATATATATAAATATAAAAATAGCAGTTACAGAATACCAGGTAAAGAAAGCTAAACAGCTTTTTAAGAAGAAAAGAGTGTGAGCTATTTCTTCTTTATATAAAGGTAATGTTTAAAGATGTACAAGATTCTGGTCGAATGTTTAAAAACTCAATTGATTTTTGGCTAAATCTGGTAGGAAAAAATTATGTAAGCATTGAAAAGTATATTCATAAGTAAAAAAAAGTCAATGAGTAATTTAAAGAAACTATTTGTCATACAAAGAAAAAATAAAGATATTCAAACAAGCAACTCAAAACTTGCTTCATTTAGACTAAAGTAGTGCATTTTGCCATTTGGTATACATTATGTTTGAAATTTTCCGTATCACTAATGTCTAATTGCTAGTGGATGCATTTAATGTTGGTGAATTTTTAATTATTTACTTTCTAAATCGGTTTGCTCAATGGAAAACAAAGAATATTTTACAGTGTGAAAAGTGTTCTAGTAAAAAAAATGATATTTTTTGAAAATATGAAGATGATTCTGAGACCAATGAACAGTAAATTGCAAATCCAGCACAACTCTCATATCACAGAACCTTAATTAACTAAAACAAAATTTGTATCAATCAAACATTAATAATGGTATATTACTATTATACTATGATAATGGTAATATATTACCATTATTAGTAACTAAAAAAAAGTTAATCTCGGGTAGTCCATTGTAACATGTAGAGCTATTATTGGAACACCCAAAAATGTTATTTACATTAATGATATACTATAAAAACAAGAATTGTACTAAAACAAATTTGCACTGCTTTATATTACAAAATATTACACATGATGTAACCTTTGTGCAGAAAATATTTTAACTAATCATACCTATATCGAAATTTCAAGTTTATTCAAACTACATTTATTTATTGCAGGACAGTATAAAGAATGTAAAAACTTTAACAGTGTCAACTAGACAGTGAATTTTTAACATATCAACTAGAGAGTGAAGTTGGCCTTAATCTAAATTAGTTTTTTTGAAATAGTGTAAAAAGATTTTTTTATACAAATAAGATTATAAATAAGTAATAAATAAAAAATCATGTGCAATTTTTTTTGAGATATTGGGCCCAAATTTGAGTTAAATAGATTAGTTGTCATGATTTTCAAGCATGTCTTTTATATATTTTAACATTCTAACTGTGTTTTATGTACTCTGCATTAAAAAAGCATTAAAAATTTGCATATTTTGCCAAAGTATTTTTCATTTTATTAAAAAAAGAGTTTTTTAAAAATATTTTAAAAACCAGGTCATTTTAGGAAACCAAATTTAAAGTTCCAATATATCAGAAACCACAAAACATTTTTGACTAAAATTTGATGAAGTTTTTTATAAATAGGAATTTATGTCAAAATATGAAACAAAAAGGAAGACATGGCTTAATGAACTGTGTGATTTGATGGAGAATTACCTACAAATAATTTTTTAACACTTTTTTTCTATATATTGAATATGATCTTTAAAAGTCATTTATTACCAAGATATTTTTTAATAAAGTTCATATACAATGAACTTTATTCAATACAATGTTTAGTTAATTTGAGTTAATGGCCTTTTTTTAATTTAGAAAATGTAATAAGCATTAATATTGACTAACTCAAATTTAAATTTAAAAATCATTTTGAATTAATAAGTTGGTAAGGCGAAATCATTGTTAATCTTATCCCATGTTTTATCGTAGTATTTTTCTTCTTTGCTTCTTCTATACTTAATTATCAAGAGATGTCTACAAAAAATCTGTTATAGTGGTAATGTCATTCATATGTAATGTCATTCATATCACTGGTAACCATCATCATCATCATCATCATCATCATCATCATCATCATCATCATCATCATCATCATCATCATCACCATCATCATCATCATCATCATCATCATCATCATCATCATCATCATCATCATCACCATCATCATCATCATCATCATCATCATCATCATCATTATCATCATCATCATCATCATCATCATCACCATCATCATCACCATCATCATCATCATCATCATCATCATCATCATCATCATCATCATCATTATTATCATCACTATCATTTTCAATCTAGTCAATTTGTATTTTTATATTGAGATAGTTAGATCCCTTATATTGAGATAGCTAAATCCCACTATTTTTATAATTTAGTAACTAATTCTTCTTAATAATTTTCAAAAGTTGTCTCCAGGCTATAAACAGCATAGATTAATTAAATACTTTTAATTAAAAGTTTTTTTTTTCAAAAAAGAATTACTTTTTAATTTTTTTCAAAATAAAATAACTAATTTGTTCAGAAATTGCTTTTTTATACAACCTTTATGAGACCCTAATGCTGACAAATCCCATCAAATTCCTTTGAAGTGGTGATACTGTATACCATAAATTATCCATAATGAGTTATTTCAAAATCTTGCATTGAAATCCAACAGAGTTATAATCATTTTTCTACAACTGATATCTCAAGTAATAAAAACTTAAGACTTCTCAAAAACTATTTTAGCCCAAAAAAGTCTAAATATTTAAAGAAGTACACAGAATTGATTCCTGAATTATTTTGTTACTATTTTCTTCTTATTAACAAACATATTGGTCAACAAAAAACAATAAATAATTCTAGCAACACAACATTTTTCAGATTCTTTTTATTCAATTTTTTTCTTTTTTTTTTTTTGCATCTTGCATCCAGTTACTTGCAGTTGGCTCACACTTTTTTGATATTCTAATCAATAACACAGTTTAGGAGCTGATGAGAGTAGTTAGGATGAGAAGCATCTTTTTTTTTATCTTTCCAATGATTTTTGAAACAAGAATGTAAAACTTCGGTAGCTTGTTCATTGAACAGCCCCAGGCTAATTTTTTTTCACCTTGATAAATGGTTGAACATGATAAAAAACAGCAAGAAACTTTGGAGTGACAGAAATCTGGAGCTAAAGAAGACTGGATTTGAATTCTTTGATTTTTAAAACATAATCAGGTGAAAAGAATCAGCCAAAACAAGGTGAAACAAATTCCTTTAATGAATTCAAATTACAATAGAAATCCAGGGTTTATACCCTTAGTAGGGAATTTCAACTCATTCACTACTATGAGATTGAAGTCCACAAATTATGTTTGCAAGCTTCATGTGTCACAAGATAACCAAGGAGCTGAGAGAGCAAGACTTGTCCACAACAATGATTTGAAAAATTGTCTTGACATATTTAAAGTTTCTGGTGTATTTTTTGCAATCACCACAATCAGTTACTTTTTAACCCTTATGCTTTTGTGACCATAAGAACTTTGGTCATAAGAGGTATGACCAAAGTTTGACTGACTTTTGAGGACTTTTTGAAGACTATGTGGCTCAGACTCATCTAACTTTCAAAAAATAAAATTCAAAAGAGTCAATTACGCTTAAACTCACTTTCAACAAAGAGCCACCACTATCTATTCTAAGCTTTACAATAGTCTTGTTTTTAAGTTTTCTTGATGGTACAATTTTTTCTTTGAGCTAATGAAGTTCCTGGCAATAAACCACTTGGTGATCTTCTGAGCGGGCAGCAAGTTTTAGGGAGCTTATGTTGAAGTAGTCTCTCAATGCTTTGCCACTGTCAGCAAGTTTTTGTTGAAAGTTGGTTTCAACTAAATAATCCAAGTTTCCTCATTCCAATTTTGAAAACCCCATATTTTCTTGGATTGAAACCATATTTTGGTTATAATACTCAATGGACCAAGAAAGAGTTGCTGTGCAGCTAATGCTCCTAAAAATTATATAATAAAATAGAATTACATTATTTACATTTTGTAACGCCAATCAGGTTTAAATAAAAATTAGGAAAAATTTTATTGTACATTTACCTTTTCTCAAAGCCAATCGCATTCCTTGCAGTCAGTTGATCTGAATTGTTCCTCTTGGTAATGCATCTTTGCCTGAAATCACAGTAGATGCAATCTGCTCTGCACCTATTAGGTCTACCAATGCAAGTTCTCCAAGATTTTCATGTTTTCCTTGTGTAGAATGATAAGGATGTCCATGAGCAAGCACAGATAAGCAAGTTGTGCACCTTTGACTAACTTGATCTTCATTGAACTGTAGAGAGTGTTTCTCTTTTTTATTGGTTTTGACAATTTCGCAGATGAAACAACCACACTGTACTGTTTGCCTTGTGATGGTTTTTACAACAATGGAGTTAAAATTGAGCAAGTATGGAAAATTTTAATCACTTAGCTGATTGATCTTAAATCGACAAGTCATGCAAATTCCAGAAAGCACATGATTATCACTAAAGTTCGTTTGAGATATTTGAGAAAATCTTGTAAATTTTCCTCTGGTAATACTCTGTCAATTGCCTGTCTGCTTTTTTTTTACAGATTAAACAAACAGATTCACTGCTGTCTTCATAGTTTTTAACAAATGTAGGCATTATGGAAAACAAATTTTAGACACGTTAAAATTAAATATTTTTTTGCATGGCTGTAAACAATAAGTACGTGATAGAAATAAGCTGAGCAAATTTTCTTCTCAAAAAATTGATTGGACTTCCAGATTTCAATGTGATCAATTATCACTTTGATAATTAAAAATTTGTAAAATGCTTTATTTTTTTAAGAGATGATTAAATATATATCAATAAATAATATAATATCATTAAATAATATAATGGTTAATAATAACGGTTAAATTTAACTCTGCACAAAATATCCAAAATATATCTCTGTTAGATTTCAAACTATGATTTCAATTTTTAATATTATGAGAACTTTATAGCATACACAATCATTGGTTAAAAGGATTTTGATGGAATTTTTTTTTTCAGCGTTAGGGTCCCAGATTTTTAGGGTGGATCAATTGTTGTTAGAAAAACATTTTTGAATTTATATAAATTTTTGCCTACCCTAAAAAGATTTAAATTTTATACTTAAAATTTAACAGAAACATTTTTTGAAACTTATATAAACTTCTAATATTTTTGTTTGCAATTTAAAATATATACTTGAAAGTATCTTTATTTCTAGGCTGTGTTATACTATCACAACCATGTACAACCTAACTTCAAAATACATGTCTTATAATTGATGGCGGTCTGGAAGCAAATTTTAAAAATTATCGTGTATAAAAATTACCAATATCATTTCAAAAAATACCTTTTTAATGCAAAGATGGTGGTTTAGGATACCCGTCCCCCATCTTAGTATGCCCTAAATCTGGAGACCGAATGAATTTTGTAGCCCATTAAGAATGATTCTTACACCTATCTTTTGATACCAAGCTATTGCTTTTTAGATAAGAATTAACAAAGTTATAATATTTTGTGGAGAAAAAAAATTTATTTGACCAGATTTATTAACAAATCTATATATCAAAAATTAGTTACTAAAACTGTCATAAATTTTTGTAGAATTACTCAAATTGCATAATTTTTCACCTTTAAAATACTGTATCAAAGGGCTTTCTAATAATGTATAACATTTTCGTATTTGATTATTTTTAAAAAAATCAGTCTAAATTTAATTTTCTGCCTTGAATTTTCTTAATATGAAATTTTCTAAACTCCTGAATTTTTTATATTCTACATATTGTATTAACAGATATTGTTTTATCAAATTTTAAAAAACTTTCTCCCTTCATAGTATGCTTATTTTAATATGTTAACTATGCTACACTCTCTTAATCAGCTAAAATATAGTTCTATAGTCTTATAAAGTTTAACATAGTAATATATAGATTTTTAATGATAAAAAATAATAGACAAAAGAAATTGCTTACTTTTTCTGAAGACATAACAATAGTTTATGTTTTTTCTTTTTTTATTTAAATGATGGTTGCACGAGTCTTTATACACAATTTTTTGACTTAGTTTCAGTATTAAATTAATAACTTTTGTTTTCGTTTTTTTTGTATGTCATTTACTTATTCAAAATTTTCTAATTTGTTAAAAATTAAGTATGCTACAAAAAAAAATTTTATTACCAATCTTTTTTTTTTCTTTCTTTAATACTAAATAATTTCATTTAATAAAAAAAAAATTTAAAACCTTGAGAAAAGATTGTTTACAAGTTTAAAGTAAAAGTGTTAAGCGCGGTTTTATTATTCGGTTGCGAAGATAAAAAAGCTAAGGTTTAAGATTCACTAATAAATTGCCGTTCGTCAGTTATTAGTTACAACAGAAATTTTGAGGCGAGAACAACAAGTTAATACTGACGTGTGCCAAAGAGCAGAGCCGTCCCGAAGAGATTTAAAAGGGGGGTGGGTGACATGTCTGTTTTTTGCCGACTAAAGCCAATAAAAATTTTTTGCTTGCTAAGTTATTTAAAAAAAAAAAAAAAAATCCTTGTTTTCCGATATTTGCCGACTGCCAACAGTAGATTCAATTTTGCCGACTTCAGCTCCAATTTGCCGACCGAAAAAATTTGAAGGGAGGCTAGACACCCCCCTACGTCCCCACCCCTCGGGACAGCCCTGCCAAAGAGCCGCAATAAATATGTTGCTATGCCTTAAAAAAATAATTGGCGAATGTTAATTTAGACTTTTTTTATACAGCAATATTTAGGATTTTTAAATGGAAAATACTTTTATAAATAAATTTCTTTGAAAAAAAAATTATATTAATGTATTTGAATTAAACTTGCTTTTATTTAAATTGAACATACTTAAAACCACTTAACATATCTGCATAACCACTTAACATATCTGCATAACCACTTAACATATCTGCATAACCACTTAACATATCTGCATAACCACTTAACATATCTACATAACCACTTAACATATCTGCATAACCACTTAACATATCTGCATAACCACTTAACATATCTGCATAACCACTAAACATATCTGCATAACCACTTAACATATCTGTATAACCACTTAATAGCGTAAGTTACTAAAAATTACAAAATACAAAATAAATAAATCACATCAAAAGAAAACAAATTTTTAATAAAGTTCAATTAAATTCAAACTACTTTTATTTTTACAAATAAAAATAACTCTTTCATTATTAGCAAAAATTTAGACATAACAGAAAGAACTCTTTTAATAACTTCAATTGTTTTGTAAAAGACCATCAGAAAAATCTTCTTGCATAATTACTTGCACATTTACTATACATTTATTAGATACTGAGATTTCGAGCGTTAGTGGTAAGTTTTTTCAAATCTGTTTTCATACTTGTAGTTAATATTCTAAGCAAGTCTAACAAAAGTTCACCTTACAGCCCAGTTAAACGACAAGTCACTTGGTTTATTAGCAAGATCCAGTTCACTAATGAAATTTTTAAACTGTCTGTAATTTTTTGAATTTGATCGAATATAACTTACCATCTCCAGCACTGATTTAAAAACAATTGGTAAATTAAAATACTTGCTGCTAAATTCTTGACGAACCACGCAATGAACTGGTATAAACTTTGTGGGTTGGGGGTGGGAAGGGTGAGAAAGTCGAGGGACGCTAGTTATGACTAGCCTACACTACTTTATTTTATTTATAATAATATACAATTTGATTTAAAATCCAAAATATTAAGAAAAAAAAAAGATGTTAATATTTTTCACATATTTATAATAAAAGTCTATTGAGTCTTGCTTTAAAATCAATAAATTAGCATACTTTCCAATGGGATCGCAAATGAAGGAAGTATTTTTTTAACGGTAAAAAGGTAAAAAATAGACAAACGAGGAAAAGAAAAACAACAAAACTTGTTAGAAATGGAAAATTAAAAAAAAAAAAAAAAAAAAAAGTGAAACTATTAAAGAATAAAAATTAAAGAAAAACATTAACAGAAGAATTATTATTATTGTTATTATTATTATTATTATTATTATACTATTATTATTATTATTATTATTATAGTTGTAGCCGTAAATTTACATAGAATGTACACATACAGCGAGCAGGGAAAACACCCCACTATAAACAACCAGTTTTATAAATATTTTTTCCAAACTTATTCAACAACCAGGAGTCTAGTCTATTTTTAAAGGAAAGTACAGTGGAGTACAAAGTTATTTGCTCTGGTAGTTCGTTCCAGTATTTTACTGATCTATTATACAAATGATTATATCTTGGAAGACAGTTTGGAACATACTCACGCCTTATGTTAGAATTGTGACCACGAGACATGGAGTTAATATATTTTGGTAGGTATTTATCATTAACTATATCAAAACGATTTATTAATTTAAAAATTTGGATTAAATCGCATCGAAGGCGTCGAAACTCAAGTGATGGTAGATTTAATTTTTTTAGCCTTTCGCAGTATTGAAGATGCCTCAAGCTGTAAGCCCATTTTGTTGCTTTGCGTTGAACAGATTCAACCAAAGCCATGTCAGCTTTTAAATAAGGAGCCAAAATGGACACTCCATATTCAAGATGTGGTCTTATAAATACTTTATATAATTTAAGATCTATTTTTTCATCAATGAAAGTGAATGTCTTTTTCAGCATACCAAGAATTTGTAAGGACTTAGAGACAACTGTTTGAATATGAGCGCTCCACTTGAGGTTAGATGTAAAAATGACTCCTAAATCACGTTCCTTAGTAGAGCTTCATAGACATTGGTTGATTCCTTGGTTATTTTGCAGAAAGTAATTGTAATGGGGGTTGTTTCGACCGTAATGATTGACGCATAATTTTGAGGTGTTTAACTTAAGTAACCAAGTGTTTGACCACTTGACCAATTAAACGCAAAGTTAAAAGAATAAAAATATTCGTGATAAATTAGAAAATAAAGAAACTTTAAAAAATTATTAAAAGAAAAAAAAAGAACAGTTTTTTAAGTTTTATTAATTTTTTTGTTTGTTACTGTTGTGTATTTTTGTTTATTGTTTATAATGTCGTGTATTTTTGTGTAATTTTTATATTGTCGTGTATCTCTATCTTCTGCATTAACATAATCAATAAACATTTGTTTATTGATTATGTTAATGTTTTTTTTTTTTTTTTTTTTTTTTTTTTTTTTTGGGGGGGGGGGGGGGGTCTTGTTGCTAATTATTTTTATTATTGTTTTATGTTTGTTGCTATTATTCAAGGTATTTCATATTTTTTGTTTCATCATAATATTTAAAAGTCCCCTATAGTTTTCTTTTTAAACTTCTATTATCCTTCTGATTTTCAAACTTTGTGATATCTCATTAATTCATTATCTCTCGTGTCAGCTCAGCTTTTTTTTTCTTTGGTTACTATCTATATTACTTTTTTTTGTTGAATTGTTTTTTGCTTCATTTGTTTCTTTTATGAAGGTGTTACTCCAATGACTGGTATTTAATTATACGAGTATCATCGAACCTAATTTTGTAAAATTATAAATAAATTTGTAAATTTTTTCAGTTTTTGAAAATGGAGTATTTACCACGTGCTTTGGCAATGCGTTCCAAAGACTTCTCGTGAAGAAGAATGCTTAACATTTTCTTTTTTGATTCTTAAATCATGACCAATTATTGCTAATACTGTTTCGTTTGCTAGTAATGACGGTGCAAATTGTTGTGCTTTAAGCCATATAATGTACTCTTTATTTTTCAATAGTTTGTAATATTGCATAGGTTCATCACGCAAACGTCTAATCTCCAACTAAGCCAATTTAATTTTGGATAGCCAACACAAAAAGTTTGAGGTTTGGTTCCAGTTTGTTTGCTCGACGTTGGACTTTTTCTAGTGTTTCAATGTCACCTTTCAAAGTAGAACTCCATACAAGGACTACAAACTCAAGATGAGTTTAGCGCTTAGTACAGAGTACCTATCAGTTTCATATTTAGACGAGTGAAGGTACGCTTGACGATTCTAAGTACGTTTGAGCTTTTGCTGCTGTTGCATTGATTTGATGATGCCATTTGAAATCTGATGGGATCAAAACACCGAGGTTGCGTTCTGCTGTTGTTTCGCCGAGTTTGTATTTAACACCAATTATTGCCATCTTTTTAATGGTCAAAGAGTCATTTTTTCCAATGTGCATAACCTTGTCCTTCTCTTTGTTTAAATACTTTAGCCATATACTTGTCCATTCAACTAATTTGTTGATGTCTTCTTGCAAACTAATTGTATCCGGAAAGATGACTAAGAACAGATCCCTTTGGTACAACATTAAGTATATTCAACAATAACAATGAAACCTCTCCCATTTTAACGCGTTGCCTACGATTGGTTAAAAAAGCCTCAATCCATCTCAGCCAAACACCGGGTATTTCATATACTTCACACTTGTGTAATAGCCTATTGTGCAAAACCTCGTCAAAAGCCTTGCTGAAATACAGATTGTCAATTAGACATTCACGCTAAATGTACCTTGTCAAAAAATCCATTGTTTAAATTTATAAATTAAATTATGTAACATAAAATCTTGAGAGGCGTTTTACATTTTAAATAAAATTTAAAAAAAATTTAAAAAACTACTTGTAGTAATCACATTAAAATGATAAAATTAATTGTTGAAACTAATAACCTACTGACGACAACATTTTGTAAAGCGCAATAAATAAAATGATTTTATGCTGTCTAACTAGAAGACTAACTAAGTGAAAATGAAGGTGATATAAAGATACTTTTACAATCATTTAAAAACTTGATTAATATTGATCTTTTAATTATTTGTAATACAAAACTTTGTGTCTTACACAAACGAACATTGAACTTTAGTTATAATGTTCGTTTGTGTATTTTTAGATACAGAGATTTTTGCAATCGTCAAAATTTTAAAATAATAAAAACATTTGTGTATTGGGATATGTGTATTGGCATCTTTTTAATACAGTAACGAACGTTTGGCATGGCTATAAAGGAAAAAAGAACAGGCTCATTTGCCAAAAATTATTCGTAAAAAATTAATTATATTTTTTTAAATCTGTTTTATTTAATTTTTTT